TTGGTTTCATACTTGAGAATTCTTAAAGTCGAAACTCCAGGCCGTCAGGAATGGAAAAGTATTGAATGCTTCTAAAACAAGATCCCGAGACATGTGACTGATTTTGAAGCTAAAACAAGATATTCGAAATGGTAGAACGTCACCGTGCATGTAAAAATACTAAAGCAATATAAGAAGACTGTATTTCAACCTTAAGCTGTAAATAAGCGCAGCGATCCCTGCGGGTAGGCACTCAAATCTCCTCCATATTTCATTTATGGTCCTCTAAAAAGCGAGATAGTAACCTAAATGCTGTCGATAGCCTTCTGCTTTGACGTTTTATTAAAAATAGATTTTGACCCTTTGGCATGTGCGAGTACCAATATACCTTGAAACCGACTGTTCAGTTAGTTGTGCAGCGAATCTAATTTTTTCTCGGATAACAAGCGAATTGGCTTTTCAGCTTGTTTTTGTGTCATTATCGGGACCGGTAATTGAGCGACCGGATTTCAGCAAATCTTCGCAACCATCCAACCAATACGTCAACAGTGTTCCAATTCCCTAAAATCAACATTTTTAGGCACTGGCACTGAAACGAGCGTCAGGCAGCTTGTTGCCTTTGGCTCCCTAGCACAAACGTTGGCGTTTGAAATAAATGACCAAACTGAAAAACATACATCAATTCGGACGCCGCCACGTGGTGAGCATTTGAATTCGGGATAGCGAGCTGTCAGCAACTGATAGCTTTTCAAAGTTATCTGAATTTTATCCGGTGCTCCACTGTTCTCCATTTTACCCGCCAATGTAACCTAAAAACCCTTCGAAATTTAGTAAACTGCAATAACTGCTTCATCAGCATATAAGAAGGCTATCGTTTAGAAAACAGTGTCGTGGAAATCGCAAATTAATAGAGGCTTTGAGTTGAAAATTTCACTGCTGCTAGTACAGCAACTGTATAAGTTTACTGTATTATTTTTAGGCTAAAAGCAATCGGTTAATTTTCCCGTTGCTTCAGCTAATGCTGCATCGCTTAGTAATCAGTCTGCTGGTGATTATGAAGTTCATTTTGTTTCCTGAAGGGACTACCGGGTTTTGGTCGTTGCGAGGTGTCACTGGTGTGTGGTGAGCTTCTCTTGAACACTGTCCCTGCCAAACAGCAGTGAGGTACATGTCTAAGAGAAATAAAATATGCACACTAAATTATCATTGGGAATACAAAATTAAGCAACTGTTTATGGTATTCGGCTCGTTAACGAGTCCTGAAATTCGAAAATTAGAGAGTTAACTAATTTCTAGTGTCTTACTGGCCGTAATCTCTTTAGCTCGTCCTCAGTACAAGTAACTGTATTGTAACTCTTTATTGTCTTATTTTGCCCTCAGCAAATTAACCTTGTAAGGTGTGCAGGTAAGACCCTCTCCTATCAGAAAAACTTACAGTGTGGCCGAAGACGCAGTATCTCGGTGCATTCAAGCCAACAACGCCAGCAAAAACCGGGCCGGTGTTGAAACCCCAACGGCAGTGTAGCTTTTGACCTGGTCTATGAGGTATTTCGTATTCAGCGAGGAACTGAAAAACTAATAGCGATTTTACCAATCGACCGTATTTGATTTTTTAGGATATTAGAAAATTCTTTGTCTTCAAAAAGAAGAAGCGATTTATAGATTCGACGGTTTCTGATTGTTGCTTATTTACCACAGAAATATGCTATTCACTGAGATGCAATGCTCCTCAGCTGGTTTCTTCACCAAAGTTAAAAAAAATAAAGTTTTACATAAACCTCTCAAAAAAAGGCGCTCATCTCTTTTCCATATAGTTTTCCCTCCTTTTCCACTCAATTTTTTTCCGTTTTATTTTAAGCCATCGGAATACGCCTTCATTTTTTTATAGGAAGTCGGAGGGAATCCTGACTTTTCAGTTTTAAGCCGGTATGCATAAAATCATACATCTCTCATCATGATCGCAACAGAAGCGATGTCACGGACGTGATTATGGCGAATAGTCAGCGGCACACCGGATGTTACCATATATGCGTCCCCAATTGTTTCCACCTAAAATTATCTGATAAGCTAAAGGATGCCGCAGAATATGGCACTTCTTAGAGGCAGCCAGGAAAGCCGCGAGTGCCAGAAAAGTCAAAAATCCCCTTCGCATTCACTCTCTTTGATAGGCAAAGGCAATTGGAAGGTAGCAAGTGATAGTAAATGCCAACAACAACCATCCACTGGCAGGACTTTCGATGGCTTCCTCTTTCTGATAAGTGTGAATTTATGGCACTGAGTTCAAGTTACACGTTCATATCTTAATGGGCCGAAACGTCTTATTTCCCGGCTTTTGGTTTACCTTCCTCTTCTTCCTCCAACCCCCTACATCCGCCTTCTTCTCTTGGTTCTCCCATTCAGCTTATACTACTTCCCCCTTGCATTCAGGTTCTTGTCTGCTTCATCACTGTTACCTTGTAGCACTGATGCTGTGAAATGATCATATCGAATTTCTTGAAAACACCACTGAGCAATGTGACCACTTCCATTGGTAAGCTTTCACTGCACAGTGATGTAAAGCCAACAATATCGGAATACATCACCGTTGCCGATTTGTAGTTTTTCGGATCAACTCGACGGCCAACTTTCAGCTCATCAGCTACTGACCTGAAATTTTCATAAAATTGTTTAAAAAAATTTCTTCCCATATTTTTTCATGTGTCGATTGTGTGAATGTATAAAATTCGAATGAAAATTGCTGCTAAACGCAAGAAGCATTTCTGATGGCTAAAAAAGTCGAAATTTCCTATGTATTTATACGCATGTGATACCAGGAATACGAAGACTGTCCAGACAAGTGGCATGGGGATCCGATATTAGTCACACCGGACATAGCTATGCCTTGCCATGCATCATTCAGGGAATGATTGGAAAAAA